TCACAGAGATGCAATGTTGGGGTGTCTCTGTCACAGAGATGCGGGGTTGGGGTGTCTCTCCTTGGCAGATGGATGCCAGGATGGGGAATCCAGGCTCTCCTCCCTTCCAGAACCAGCTCTAGGGGTGCCTTGTTTGGGTTTCCCTCCCCTGGCCGTGCCCAGCTCTCCCCARTGCCGGGTGATTTGGGCACTCAGGGGTCAGTGAGGACACCCTGGGCGCTGCCCTGTGTCCCTGCTGACCCCGGTCACTCCACAGCTGTGTGCCCCTCGGACCTCCAGCAGCTCTGGAAGGAGGTCACAGCCACCCAGCCCGTCGAGGACAGCATCAAGCAGGAAGGTCTCGACCTCACCACCAACACCTCCAACTCTACCTCGTTTTCGGCCGCCAAGGTCTCGCCTCCCATTTCCCATCACCCTCTGCCCAATGGACAGAGCACCATGCACACGCCGAGAAGGGACAGGTAGAGCCGGCTCGGGCCCTGGTGCTGCGTGGTTTTGTTCCTGGAGAGGGGGAAGGGGTTGGGATCCATCGCCTGTAGAGCTGGGGGTTCCTGCCCCACCCTTAAACGAGGCCTGGCGCTGTTTGGCTGCACCCACAGAGGAGGAGGAGCTGTCACTTGAGGTGTCCCATGGGTCCCCATTTTTGGGAATGCTGGAGCACCCCGGCTGCCCCCTCTGATGGCTCCTTTCCCTCCCGTGCAGCTCTTCCCACGAAGAGACCCCCGGCTCCCACCCGCTCTACGGCCACGGAGAGTGCAAGTGGCCCGGCTGCGAAACCCTCTGTGAGGACTTGGGGCAGTTTGTCAAGTAAGTGCTGCCTTTTTGGGGAGGTTTTTCCATCTCAGGATGGGACAGAACTGAGCTGGTGGAGGGGGAGATCCTGGAAGTCAGCCCAGACATCCCAAAATGTGTCCCAAAGCTGGGTGGAGAAGGAGAAAACACAGCAGGGGTTTCTGCTGGTGTTGCCCCATCCCCGGGTGGGGTTTGGAGGGGAAGGTGACTCTGCCCATGGCCGGGGATGGAGGGGATGAGCTTCACAAGCATTTCCACACCAAACCGTGGGCTGAGTGGATGGTTTGGAGGAGGCCAGAGCCCGGGCAGCAGGCGAGGGGGGCTGGCAGCCCCCGGCGGGGGCGCGGGGGGAGGCGGCAGATGGCAGATGGCACCGCTGACACCGCTCGTGGGCTCGGCGCTGACTGATTAACTCTGCTGTCGGAGAGCCCTCTGCCAGCGTCAGGGTCAAACAAATTGTTTTCACGCTTCGTCAGAGGTTTACTTAATTAGTTCATTTGCAATTAGATCTCTTTGTAGCCGGGATTTTTAGCAAAGACATCAGAAGGAGCTGACGGGGCTGGCGGGCGGGCTCCTTCCCCGCCTCCCCGGCTGTCGGCTCGGCCAGCGCCGTGCAGGGCGGCTTTTGGGGTTTTCTAAAATCATCCTCGGGTCTACCACACTCTCAGGGCTGGCTCCTGTGGCTGTGGCAGCATCCT